AGATTCCATAAGATCTTATATTATCTTATAATAAGGTCTTGTATGATCATATCGTAAGACCTTATTACAAGATTTCACAAGAAAGCATCAGATCTTGCAAGGTCTTACAAGACGTGTTTCACCTGGGCACGTTCGATAGTGATCCGGTAGAAGACACATTCGCTCACATTGTGCTTTAGTTAATCTATTTTCTCACTGGTTACTTCCTTCAAAAGCTTCAGTTTCATTCAATTTGCCTTTAGTCCAGATCAGGCATGCAACCATCCCAGGCTAGGACTCGCTGATCGGCAGCGGACATGTTCGGTTGCGAACCGTTCGGTGACCGAACATGTTCGGTAACAAACCGTTTGGTGAACGAACATGTTCGGTCACCGAACTATCGATTTGGTGCATGCCTAACAATGGCTGATTCATTTTTTCTTACTTTCAAAACGTTAACACAAAAAATCATTTTTGGATTTGGAAGGTTTTCATTCTTTTCGACTTTCATCTAATTGGCTTAGTTTTCTTGATTGAAGTACTGAAAATATAGTTTAGGTATGATTTTGTAGAGTATTTCAAGGCGCATCTTTTGCAAGAAGTAGCTCAAATCGATAGAAGAAAAGGAAGAAAAGACGAAAATACGAAGAGGGTAATTTCTTCTGAAGCACCCGTTAAGTTCCTAAAGCCATAAGACCGAGCGAGTGCAGACGCGCGTTCCCTTTTAAGATATCATTTCAATAAAATATACAGTCGCTCAAGCGAAAAATCTCGATTTTGGTTACATTAAGATGTACTAATGCATTGTGGAACAACAAAAACGATAAAGTAACAATTATGTTAAAAAAAACGAGTGTCTTTACTTATATAATAACGAAAAGAATTGAGCATATACCAAGAAGATTAGAAAATATTATCGTCTGAATTGTTTATGCATGATCTAGTTTTTGTTTTAATTCGTCAATGGCTGTTTTCCATTGTGTATACGTGTTGTTGTCCATTTGCCATCCTGCTTGTGCTTCAACTTTTTTTTCTGTGATGTAAGTAATGACCATATGTGGATGATCGACACGATATTTTCCATTAAACCATGCTTGTTCACGAACATCGATAATGGATAAAATTGGTATACGAAGTAGACCGTTATCACCGCAACATCCCATAAATAATTGACTATAAAAGCAATCTTCCGTTAAGACTAACTCAGCACCACCCAATGTCTATAACAAGAAAATGATCGATGTCTAGGAATATGCGCTCATGAAAAACAAGAGAGAAATTTACCTGACATTTTCCTCTTCCAGTTGTGCCACTATACATCGGTCCATGCGCTCTTAAAACAACAGGCGTAATGGAGTCAAAATCAATTGATTCCGTTGAGGAACAGCAACCACCCATCGTCTAGCTACTAAAAAAGATTCAGACATCTTTATACGTACAAAAAGATCCGGAATTGGATAGAGGCAACGGGAAAATACGAGCCCAATATTTTTCTATTCAGACTTTCATGCTGAATAAGAAAAACTTGGTTCCGAAGTTTGGAAACATAACCAATGTTCAAAAAATAAATTTTTCCGAAAATTTAGCGTTTTTTTAAAAATTTTAAAATTTTCAGTTTTCCCACATTTTCGTCCCGAAAAGTGTTCTGTAGAGCTAAAATACACATATTCTCACTTAACTCGACGAGCTCTATCCAACCATGTGTAAATAACTAAAAAATAAAAAATAAAGTCTGATCTTAACGAAACTTTTAGGAAGTACTGACTACGTTAAAATGTGGTGAGGAAATTTTTTTGCAGCTTCATCTGTCTCCGTTCGTGAGACGCCACCAAAACAAGGGCCAAATGAGGCTATTCGTAGTTGCAGCAAATCCCCGTCTAGATATATATTGGAGAGTTCGGATTGGTCTTAGATTACAGCGAACATTTATGACTAGAACGTACACGAATCCACCTTCTCAACTGAAGCCTTGAAAACAGGGACTTATTTTCGACCTATCTTACCCTGTCCTGTGCGGTCCTGTCCTGTCTAAAAAATGACTGAAAAAAAAATGTCTCCCTGCCCTGTCGTACTGGACAGGGCGCTTTGTCCTGCAGGACAAATACTAGATGTTTACCTTTTTCTCGACAAAGTTAGAAAAACACACACCTTTCTCCATTTCAAATCACAACGACTTAATTTTATTCTTTTCATTAAGAAACAAACGCTGTTTTTTTTGCGAAGAAAAGTAGCATTAGACTCCATCAACGCTACCTAATGTTTCTCTTTTAAATGCGTTGTAAAACTGCCTTATTTTTAGCACAGGAAAAGACAGGACAAAAAAATTTTTTAACTGTCTTATTTAACCTTTTTCTACTGCGCAGTGCCAAAAACAGTTTCTTCTCTAGCTCTATATGATTTTACTCGAAAAAATACAAGAAAATAACAAACATAAATATAAATTTCGATCTTAATCGAGACGCTGCTTTTAGAATGTGTATGTTTGATCCGAAAAGTAACTGGCACTTTAGCTGGCCTATAATATGTGAAAGACAATCTCCACAAACTATAGATAAAAACACACATAAAAATCTTCATGATCAGGGAAAAACAGTCAAAGCAGAAAATTCTCACACTCCGGACAAATCCCGGAAAAAACTCAAACAATCGAAATTTGTCCGGAAAATTCAAACAAGGTGCTAGTGATGGTTATAATATTTAGGCATTCAGCAAAACTGTTATAACTTTTGATGGGATCATCAGCTAGAGCTGGGAGATGCCTTATTCGAATCAAAAAATTTTATTCTACAAACTGATTTCATTGAAGCGGTTTTACATCAAGAATATGTATGTTTTCAGTTACATTTATCAAAATAGTAGTTTTCTAGGCTTTTCGAAATCATTTTCAAAAACCATCAGCAAGGTTTCTAGGAGGAAAATAAATAAGGAATCAGACTATACATCTGGACACCTTGTTACATTTTGGAGTTTTAGAAAAAAATCGTGTTTCTGATGGAAGGATCTAAAAGAAAACTCTGTAGTTTAACAAGTAACGTCTAAGGTGAGTCAGATTGTATTTAAATGGAGCATTAGCGAACAGATGTTTCTGAGTATGACAAGAACCGATCTAATATCATATGAAAAAATACTGCGATACGTTTATTCGATTCGAAGTTCAGAATTCACTCATTTTCTTCCTGGGAGACTTGGCGCTTCGATAGTTCATATATCGACACTCACGTATTTCAGTTGTTCCAAGCAAGTTGCGTTTTTTTTCCTCAATAATCAAGGGATACGAAGACTATAGACTATGTATAATTTGTGCAATGAAGTAAAAAGAGAAATCGTCCGAATAGTTGTTCTTGTTCTGTATTCTCTTTATCCAGATGAGTCAATATGCTTTCTTTTTTCCTTTTC